CCAAGCCGCGAAGCTGTCGTGGTGCGTCAAGAAACTGCTGCGCGCGCACGAGAAGCTGGTCGTCGAGTACGCGGGCAAGGCGGGCCAGCTCCTGGACGTCGCGCGCGTCTCCGTGGTCTGCGGGAGCGTCGCGGAGCTCCGCCGCGTCTTCGGACAGCTGCTGAAGAACAAGGGCGTGGTCCGCGTGAAGAACCGCTTCGCGAAGCCCGCCGGGGGCTACGTCGACGTGCTGCTGAACTGGACGGCGTCCAAGGCCGCGCGGGGCCACGTCTGCGAGATCCAGCTGCACGCGGCGTCGGTCTACGCGACCAAGGGCGAGGGCGGCCACCAGTCCTACAAGTGGCTGCGGCGCCTCGTGCGCGCCGACGACAGCTACGAGGGCCCCGTCGACGCCGAGGGCCGGCCCCACGGCGAGGGGGGGCGGAAGCTCTTCGCCGCGGGCGACGCCTACGTGGGCGCGTACGTCCACGGCGAGAAGCACGGCGCCGGGAGGTACGTGTCGTCCGACGGCACGGTCTTCGAGGGGAGCTACGTCAAGGACAGGCGCCACGGCCCGGGCGTCGTGCGATACGCGAACGGCAACGTCTTCGAGGGCTCCTACGTCGACGGCGTCATCGAGGGCCACGGCACGAAGCGCGTCTACGGCGGGGGGGTCTATGTCGGCGCCTGGAAACACGGCAAGCCCGACGGGCGAGGCACGGACACGTCGAAGACCGGCGACGTCTACGTCGGCGACTTCCGCGCGGGCAAGAAGTCGGGCAAGGGCGTCGTGACCTACGGGTCCGGCGACGCGGCGACGCTCGACGGCGACTTCGTCGACGACCGGCCCGTCAAGGGCACGTTGACCTACGCGGACGGCGCCGTCTTCGTCGGCGACCTCGACGAGGAGGGCCTGCCCAAGCACGGGGTCCTGACGGGCGCCGACGGCGCGACGTACGACGGCCGCTTCCGGAAAGGCAGGCCGCTCCTCCGGAAGGGCGCCGACGGGAAGTAGGATTTAAGGTTAGTTTCGCCCCGCTAGGGCGTCTCGATGTTCACCGGCGGCTTCGGGTAGTGCTTGAGCATCGCGTCGAGGTCGAAGTCGTTGGGCCGCTGGTTGAAGGTCAACGGTCCGCTGTCGCTGCTGTAGCGGCTCGCGATGCAGTAGGACTCGACGACCTGGGCGATGACGTGGTCCGCCTCCTCCTTGAGCATCTGCTTCTCGACGTCTCCCCGGAGGAGCACGATGTCCTTCTCCTTCGCGAGGTCGTCGTGGAGCGTCAGGGTCACGTAGGGCCGCGCGAAGGTCGGGTTCTTCTTGTAGTCCTCGAGGAACGTGAAGAGGAAGTGGCGCCGGTTCTGGAACTGGGACAGGAGCAGGAAGTGGCCGCCGTCGCGGAACACGGGGAAGAGGAACGTCGGCGCCGCGCCCGCGCGGTCGACGAGCACCTGCGCCGTCTTCGCGGGGATGTCGCGGCCGACGGCGTCCTGGCGCCCCTCGTGGTAACTTCGCCAGATCTCGGCGATCTTCGACGTCGGCTCCTTCTTCAGCAGCGGCAGCTTGACGATGTCCGTGAGCTGGCGGGCCACGTGGCTCGCGTGGCCCGCGCGCGAGAAGGCCATGGCGCTACGGCTTCGATCGGTGCCTGCGTCGACGTCTCGCGGCGCGACGCTTGCGCGCACGTGCGGAGCGCTGCGCGCG